CCAACTATTTTTGGATGATAAACATTTGGATCAGGTCTACTAAACATGGGCATAGTAACAATATTTTCATACTACATTTATCCATTTCAAATATACTAACCTCCTCCTTTGTAACAACTAAGGCAAAAATGTAATTAATTCCGAAAATCATTTCAGGACCCCACCTTGATGTTTTGGGACCCCACTTTGGGTCCCGACCCCAACCTTGGGAAACATTGCTCCAGAGTATAAAGGTCCCCAAGCAGATTGTGAACACGGCATGYTTTTCCTCAGAGTTGACAACTTCGGACTCAACCTTTACACCCCCACATTAACAGCTTCATGTCCTGGAACTGTCTTTGTAAAGACTAAAAAGATACAGCTCGGCTCCCTATCACCCGGATTGTATGTTTGTGTTTGTGTGATTGTGGGTAACAACAATAGAACATGAGCAGAGATAGGGGATTAGAGGATTGAGAGCTGCATTAGATCCGGCAGGGACAGATGTGCAGACCGGAAGAGAGAGCAGCAGGTCGGGGTTTGGGGGGGAGTTGGGGTGGGGGGTGGTCAATGAATTGTCAGAGTTTCTGTGTTGAACGTGTTWTTTTTTTTTTTTATGAAAACATGCTTGTTTCAGAGGCAAACTGCTTTATGAGCGCCTGTCTGTGTCTGAGTCCTGAATAATACATATGTTGACCTACTGAGAAAACGTGGCCRGACTACATTACTGGAACCACTCAGAATCACAGAAACAGGAACTGTGGTGGTTGAAGCTGCTCGTGAAACATCTGGGCTCCACTCTTTTTATTATTGTTAAATGATTTTAGTTGTGTCATAATATGGTAGGTTGGGTCCACACAGATATAGGTCTGACTGCTTTGTGTTGCCAGGCAGAAAATCACTGCGGCTGTATTTTTGATTTATTTATTTATTTTAGAACGGATGGGATTGTGTAAGGCTCGTGCCTCCTCTAATCTGTGACCTTCTCACAGAGGTTTGCTGCTATTTCTATTTTTTTCCTTCTTTATGTCAAATAGGCTCAAATTTAGCTATAAATCCCTGTAAATGTTTCTAGCAATAAAGTTACAAATCAAACAGCMCACCACTCTGCCAGGGTTTATTCTGAATGGTCATGTACTGTGCGGTACAAAACTTTTGGCAAAGGTGGCAAAAGAAACGCTTTTTGTATTTCAAAATGTCTGCATTCTTAATCAGATGCCATATTGTTGTCATATTCATTAGTTATTTAATTTACAGACACGTTGGTCACATACAAAGAAAGTATTCTTATCCAAATATTTAAAAGTAGTAAAATATAATTTTTCTTCAGTTTTCTGTTGTTTTCTGCAGTTTCTGACTGTATAAAAAGGAAGTGATGATGATGTATTTCTTCAAGACATGAATAACATATTATGTAACTCAGTGTGAATGACAAGCTCAAAGGAGAAAACAATGYCACATACTGTCTTGTGTCTATTTTTTTACACAAAACCTAATAGTGTTATGATGCAGTTTGAATGTTCAACAAAGTCAGCATGTTAGTTTTTTAAAAAATCTCTATAAGATATGAAGAAGATCACTTGGAACAGCTCTTTCTGGGTTTGTACACTGGTGCTGCCCGTTAATGTGGGCCGTTCTGAACATGCTCCAGTGAATGGATTACATTTCAGCTGCCGGCTGTGTTTACTGCGATTTGGGAAAGCTGTTTTACTAACTGTGTCTGCAACTTGAAGTAACACGTAAGGCAATCACAAGTCTTATTAATTATCATCTTTAAAGCAGTTTAGGTTTTTGGTTTCCTCCTACTTTCTGTTGCACGAGGCCTTTCTTCATATCACAGCCACAGCTGAAAATAACCCAACAAATAATCATACTTCTGCACACCTCTTTTAGCTCACTCTCAGACTGAGTTATTTCTGGGTTTAACCTAGAAATATAAGCAAAACAAAGGACGCGTCTTTGTGCTGATCAAGGAATTACGCAGCTTTGTTTTCTCTGGTTCCTGGTACCACAGGAAAGCTAAGCAGTTGCAGCTTTTTAACTGTGATTCGAAAAGTTGAGCTGATACATGAGTGTGTCATTTTTAATATATATTTTTAAAATCTTTTTTGCAGGTTAACTGCTGTCATCGCGTGCAGCTTTAAATGTCCACTGCCATGGCCAAGCGTGAGGCCGGGAGCCCCAGCCCTGTGGTGCGTCAGATAGACAAGCAGTTCCTGGTTTGTAGCATCTGTCTGGATCGCTACTGCAACCCCAAGGTCCTGCCCTGCCTGCACACCTTTTGTGAAAGGTAACTAACCTTTGACCTTTAACCTTTTGTAAAGATATCACAGATCTGTTTATAGTAGTTTTGATAGTAAAAGGGAGAATAAAGTTGTGGTCTGTTGTTCAGAGGAAAATTAGGATTATGTGTTTAAGTCTTTTTTTTTCTCTGTGAGAGATTAAGACTACTTTTTAATAAACTGCAGCTGATATGAAGAGACCTGTGTTGTTTCCATGCACATTTCAGTCCCTGACTAACTAGAGCAGGGGTGGGCAATCGTGGACCTCAAGGGCTGCAGCCCTACATGTTTTACATGTTTCCCTGCTCCGATACCTCTTCCAAGTTCTGTAGTATGGAGGACCAAAACTGACATAATTAGAAATAAAAGCAGAAATAAATAAATGAACCTTTAAAATATATAAATACATTTAAAATTTACCAAATAAATTAAAAAGGAGAACTTTAC